TGGTGGAAAGGTGAGGGGGGAGGATAATGCTATTTAGTTGCCTGTATCCAAGAATGTAATCCCTTTCTTTGAATGAGCCAAAATCATTTCACAGTCATAACTTAAAAATAGATTCTGTAAACTAGGTAAAAGTATATCCTCTATATTTCTGGTTGAAATATATGTATCTAGAGTTTATGCTTCATTTTAATCTTCAAATGTGGAGCGCTTTTTATTAAATTTTAAATAGAAGGGAAAAATTTAACTTTTCTATCTTTTCCAGAGTTATATTACAATGGGAGGCGATGACTGGGACACAAAAGAATCTTATCCTTCAGTGGTTGCTCAAGACTCTGAAGATCACCCTGTACTTATAGGGCCTGGATAATAGCTTCCTCGTTGTAGCCTAGACCTGTATCTTTCCAAGGCAATCATTGTGGAGCAGATAGAAAAGGAACAAAGAAATATGGGAGTATGTTGACAATACTGGTATGCAGTTTTAGATCACTGACTTTGAGAAACCATTTTAATTGTCAACTTCATTTGTATTCAAAATGATCTTTTTTATGACATAGTAATGCTTCAAATACCAAGGCATGATGAATATATTATTTAATACTATGTGGTTTCATACTATTAATATCCTATAACAATCTGTGGCATAAAAATTTCTTGAGTTAAATGCACTTTTTATACATGAATTTGAGCTTAATGAGTGATGTCAGCAAAATGGCAATCCCCAAATTGCCTTTTCCATAAAAGTAATGAAAATTATAGCCAAATTGCCAAAAATAATATTGTTCAGAACTTTGGAATGTAACCAACATGGTTTGGCAACTTAGGGAATATTTATTCAAGAAAAATTGCTGAATATCAGTAGAATGGCAGAATATATGGCATGTTAAGATGTGCTGTTACCATACTAATTTCCCAAGTCTGAAATAGCCTTGAAAATTTTCAAGCTGCAGTCTTTGTAGAAACCAGAAACCTGGCAGATAATAGGCGATCTATTGGTCTCTGTTAGTACTCCATTTCTGGATTATTCTCATTACTGTCCTGTGCTGCTTAGTGACAGTGATGTTTTCTCAGAAATGATTATTTGGTGACTTCATTGTTGTTTGAACATCAACAAGTAGAGTTTACTTACACAGACATAGATGATATTGCATACTACAAACACAGGCTATATGGTATAACTGTTTCAGGGCAACCCCGATATAAAACGTGTTGCCTGACTGTGGATCCTCACCCATGCACTTAAAAGGGACTTATTAATTCTCAACTGCAGGCACACACAAAGGTTAATAAAAGGTTTATTTACAAGGGAAGGGGGAATGAGGAAATGCACAACTCAGGGAGAAAAATGGGAGATAAAGTCTTAAATGCATCCTACCCATTCCACCAACCTGGAAACCCAATGGCATGCTGAGAGCTGGCAGAAAGCCACGAGCTGTGAGGCCACGAGGAGCCCCCCAAGGCCATGTGTCTGATTTTATACCAAACCTGGCTGCTTAACTCCACCCTCAGATCCCAGCAACCTTTTGGTGATGATGGGATTTGTCTTTCCCAATGTCTTGATGGCTTTGGTCTGGAGTAGGAGTGGAATCCACAAAGCCTGTACAGAATTAGCTCAGGATATCCTTTGCCCCTAACATAACCTGTGCGGATCATCATCTATATGTGAAGCTAATTGTTGAGCAAAACACTGTTATTCAATGAGGTTAACCAATGAAACACTGTCCCATGGCTTGGGGAATTTCTGGAATACATCTTGGACATTGGAAATCATGCAGAAGGGACATGGAAGAAATTCATGAACATGAAGCAGGTGGGAGAAGACACCTGAAGGCTGTAGTCAGGGATGGGAAGCTGTCTTACAAACTTATATGTTACCAGTTAGCTGGGGCAACCTACCAGTGTGGATGAACACACCCTTGACTGAGGGAAAATATGTGAGGAGGAGCTGGGGTGCTCCCAGCAGGTAAAGTCCCCAGTGAAAGAAACAATAACAGTGTGCTGGGCTGCAGTCACCTTGACCTGTTTTTAGAACTGATACTTACTTTGTGAACCTTACTGAAAATACACAAATATAGTAAAGTCTCATGTCTGGCACACCAGAGTTGAGGTATATCAGCAAAGCATAAAAGCAAACCTATTACCCTAGAATATTCACGTCAACAGCTTCACCCTACAAGCTACTCTCTACCCGCAAACATCAGGTCTCAAACATCAGATCTCAAACCTGTGGAAGTCCAAAAGTATATATAAACCAAAACACCACCTATTGGAAAGGTAGAAGTAATTAAAATCTCTAGAAAGGGCACAAACACACACACACACACACACACACACACACAAATAAAGGTAAAAAGAGACAGTGATGGACATCATAGAATTACTAAGGGATCAATATACCAAGAAGACATAATATTCATCAATACATTTACACCTAATGAAGGAGCATAAAAATATATTAGAAAACTATTATCAAATCTAGAATCAATATGGACAGCAACACAAAAGTATTAAGTGACTACAAAACTTTACTTTCATTAATGGAAAGATTATCCAGACAAAAAAACAAAAAGAAATAATAGCCTTAAATGGTAGACAACATGATCCCTGGCCAGCCAGGGATCGAACTCGTGCTGTAGAGGCTGGCAGCAGCTTGATAGTGCTGTCTTTAACTCCTGCACCACTAGGGAGGCCCCATATGAGTTTAATAGACATTAATAGGCACTGCAATCTGAAAAACTGAGTGCATATTCTTCTCAAGGGCACATAGAACATTCTGCTGCATAGACCGCATGTTGGATTGCAAAAAAAAAGTGTCAATAAATTCACAAAGATTGAGATCCTGTCAACTATCTTGTGTGATCACAAAGATATCAAAATACAAAACAACCACAAAAGAAAGAGGAAAAACTCCTAATAAGTGGAGATGAAAAACACACTAGAGAATAATGGTTGGATTAGTGAGAAAATCAAAGAAGAGTTAAATTAATAACCTGGGGACAAAAGAAAACAAAGAGGGGCTCCTCAGTGGCGCAGCAGGTTGAGTACAGCTCTGTGAAGCTGTCCACAGCCTCTGCAGTGCGGGTTTGATCCCAGCTGGACAGGGACATACCCATATGGCGGGGCAGACCTCTCCAGTCTCACCTACTACTCCCCTCAGCAGTATATTTTGGCCCGTCTGCCTGTTCTGCTCCCCTCTCTGTCTCTGGTGAATTCTCTCACCCTCCTGTGCCTCAGGCCTGTACCCCTGTTCTTGTATAAATAAATAAATCTTAAAAAAAAACAAAGACACTTATACCACAACCCATGGGATACTGTGAGATACAGCAAAAGTAGTATTAATAAGGAATTATGTAACAATACACACCCACATCAAGGAACAAGAAAAGCTCAACTATATAATCTTACCTTTTACAATAAGAAACTAGAAAAACATGAACAAAAAAATCTAGGAGAAGGAAGGAAATGATGATGATAATAATAATAATAATAAAATTAGCTGAAATAAGTGAAATAGAAATTTAAAAAAATACATTGTCTAAAGTATCAATGAAACCAAAATTCAAAATTTTGTTCTTTGAGAAACTATACAAGATAAACAAATCTCTAACTTGGCTAACAAAGAAAATGGAGAAAACTGTAATAAATATAACCAGCAATTATACAGAAGCTACAAAAGACAGCTCAGAAATAAAAAAGATCTTTAACGATTACATGAACATCTGTATGGCAGTATGTTGTAAAACCTACAAGAAATGAAAAAATTCTGAAGTACATACAACCTTCAAAGAATGAATCAGGAAGAAATAGAAAACCTGAAAGGAGGAGGGAGGGCTCCACCATCAAAGTGAACTGTGGGTCCCAGGAAAATGAGGGCTTGCAGGCTGGGCTGTTGGAATCCAGCAACTAGTGAACCCTTCTGGAACTGAGAAAGCTGCTGGAGGCAGCATCCCTCTACTCCCCATTTGGAACTGAGAGAAGAGGAAGGCTCCACCATCAAGGTGAACTGTGGGTCGCAGGAAAGTGGCCCTGTCAGCTGGGCTGTTGGAAGCCACCACCTTGAGATCCCCTTGTGGAACTAAGTAAAGACAGAGGGAGAGCTCAACAAACAAAGGTTAAGATGGGCAGGAGGGGAAGAGACCAGAAGAATACAGAGACTTGATGATCTTCAGGGACAGCACCCATCAACCCATCCACAGCATCACTATCCTTGTGTGGTCTGGCATAACAGTGCTGGACTTGGTCTCACCACCAGTTTCTGATGTCCCAGAAGGAGCACCCCAAAGAATGCCTGCCAGTTGTACCAGTGGGAAAGCGCATAGAACAAATTAGAAAACAAACAATAGGGAGAAGGTAAAATACAAACAACCAAGCAAGCCCTCTGAGGAAGGACACACCAAAAAGAAAACCAGTCACCAGAACTCAACAACAATGACATGGAAGAACTTTTCTAACTGCCAGATAGAGAACTTAGAATCTCCATGATTAAAAAACATAAAGATGAAAAGAAAAAGAATGATATGAGAAATACAATGAGTGAACTAAAGAATGAAATTGAGTTTTTAAATAAGGAAATGAAGGACATGCAGGATGTTAAAAGATTAATGGAGGAGCTAAAGAATTCTGGGGAAAACAGCAAAAACAGAATCAATGTAATGGAAGAACAAATCAGTACTCTTGAAGACACAGATATAAAAAGAACAAAAAATTAAAAGGAAAGAGAAGTACAAAGGAAAAAGAATGAAGAAAAACATTGAAACTATCTGCCACCATGAAGAAAGGAAATATAAGAGTTATAGGAATCCCAGAAGGTGAGGAGAGAGATGAAGGAAGCGAGAAACTATTTAAGGAGATAAATTGAAGAGAACTTCCCAAGCATGAAGAAGGAGATTAAAGTATACATACAGGGAGCTAGAAAAACACCAAATTACCACAATGAAATTAAAACTACAGCAAGACACATAATAGTAAAGCTTCCAAGAGCCCAAGACAAGGAAAAAATAATGGTGCACACTTCAGCAACTCATATACTAAAATTGGAACCATACAGAGAAGATTAGCATGGCCCCTGCACAAGGATGACATGCAAATTCATGAAACATTCCATATTTTTTGAAACCATAAAATATATAGAAGAAAGTATAGGCAAAACACTACATGACATACATCTCAGTAACATCTTTTTTTTAATTTATTTTTGTTTTATATGATTTTTACATCATTTCTCATGGAAAAGACTAATTATAATAAAGTGAAAATCAAAATCAACAAACAACTATAAATCAGTAACATCTTTAAAGACACATCACTCAAGCTATTGATAGTGAAGGGAAGGATAAACAGCTGGGACTACATCAAATTAAAGAGCTTCTGTATAGCAAAAGAGACAGTAACCAAAACAAAGAGACACCCCACTGATTGAGAGAAAATATTTGCACATAACACCAATGATAAGGGACTGATCACAAAAATCTACAAAGAGATGATGAGACTCAACAAAAACAAAATAAATAACCCAGTCAAAAAATGGGCAGAACAGCTAAAAAGAAGCTTCTTCACAGAGGAAATGTTAATGGCCAACAGGCATATGAAAAATGTTCAACATCACTTGTAATCAGGGAAATGCAAATCTAAACCACAATGAGATACCATCTTATACCAGGGAGAATGGCACATATTAAAAAAAACTAGCAACAACAAATGTTGGTGAGGATGTGGAGAAAGAGGAACTCTCCTGCACTGCTGGTGGAAGTGCAAACTGATCCAGCCATTATGGAAAGCTGTCTGGATGTTCCTCAAACTACGAAAAATGGAGCTTCCCTGTGATCCAGCAATTCAACTCTTAGGTATCTACCCAAAGGGCACAAACACATTAATTCAAAAGGACACCTGCACCCCTATGTTTATTGCAGCACTATTTACAATAGGTAAGCTATGGAAACAGCCCAAAAACAGATGACTGGATCAAGAAGATGAGGTACATATACACAATGGAATATTACTCAACAATCAAAAAGGATATACTCATGCCATTTGCAGCAACATGGATGGAGCTGAAAGGGATCATTCTCAGTGAAATAAGCCAGAAAGAAAATAAACAATACTGGATGGTCTCACTTATAGCAGGAATGTAGCAGAGTCAAATAAGGCATCAAACTAGAAATAAACCATGAAAAGAAAGCAAGGAACCCTCCCACTTTATGGAGACTGCTGGAAGACCATTGGATTAAAGCAGAGATCAAAAAAGACATTAAAAAATACATTTAGATGAATGGCAATGAGAACTCAACTTTTGAAAATGTATGGGACACAACAAAAGCTGTAATAAGACGAAAGTAAATAGCAATATAGGCTCACATCAAGAAATAAGAAAGAACTCAGAGAAACAACCTAATATCCCTTCTCAAAGAACTAGAAAAAAGAACAAAAAAAAAAGAAGAAAGGAAATAATAAAAATCATAGCAGAAATAATGAAATAGAAATTAAAGAACAATCCAAAAGATCAATGAAACCAAAAGATGGTTCCTCGAAAAAATAAACAAAATAGACAAACCTCTAGCCAGGCTCATGAAAAAAAAAATGGGAGATAATACAAACAAACAGGATCATAAATGAAAGAGGAAAAATTACAAAAGACTCAGTAAAAATCAAATAAATAATCAGAGATTGAGATTACTATGAACATTTATACAAAAACAAGTTCAACAATCTAGAAGAAATGGACAAATTCCTAAAACAATGTAATCATCCAAAGATAGATAAAGGAGAAATAGAAATAGACCACTTACAGGCAGTGAAAATTGAAACAGTAATCAAAATCTCTCCAAAAAACAAAAGCCCAGGCCCAGAAGGCTTTGCAAATGAATTCTACCAAATATTCAGAAATTAACTATTGCCTATCCTACACAAACTCTTTCAAAAAAATTGAAAAAGAAAGAATACTACCAAACACATTCTATGAAGCCAACATTATGCTAATACCAAAACCAAATAAAGACAACACACAAAAAAGAAAACTACAGGCCAATCTCCCAAATGAACACTGATACAAAATTTCTCAACAAAATCCTTGCCAACAGAATCCAACAATGCATCAAAAAGAAAACACACTATGAACAAGGGGGATTTAGTCCAGGGGCACAAGGATGGTTCAACATAAGAAATCAATTAATGTAAGGCAACACATCAACAAAAAGAAAAATAAAAACCATATGATCATATCAATAGATGCTGAGAAAGCATTTGACAAAGTTCAACATCCATTTATGATGAAGGCCCTTGAAATTCTCAGGATAGAAGGAACATATCTTAATATGATAAAAGTAATATATGACAAACACACAGCCAATATCATTCTAAATAGTGAAAAGCTGAAAGCATTTCCTTTAAGATCAAGAACAACACAAGGTTGTCCACTGTCACCACTGCTGTTGAATGTATTACTAGGAGTCCCGGCCAGAGCAATAAGACAAGAGAAAGACATACAAGGAATCCAGATAGGGAAACAAGATATAAAACTATCACTATTTGCAGATGATATGATAATGTACATAGAGAACCCTAAAAATTCTGCTGGAAAAACTAATATAATGAACCAATTTAGTAAAGTAACAGGATGCAAAATTAACACACAGAAATCAGTAGCTTTCCTATATGCTAACAATCAATTTGAAGAAAAAGAAATTAAGAAAGCCATCCCATTTACAATCAAAACCAAAAGAATCAAATACCTAGGAATAAACTTAACTGAGGAGGAAAGTAACCTATACAAAGAAAATTATAGAACATTATTAAAAGAAATAGAAGAAGATGCAATGAAATGGAAAGACATCCCTTGTTCATGGGATTGAAGAATTAACATTATTAAAATGGCATCTTACCAAAAGCAATTTAAAGATTCAATGCAATTCTGATAAAAATTTCAATGATATTCTTCAAAGAAATAGAACAAATATCAATGAAATTCATAGGGATCCACAAATAACCTCAAATAGCCAAAGCTCTCTTAACTAAAAAGGAGAATGGAGGTATCACATACCCAGACTTCAAAGTATACTACAAAGCCATAATAATTAAAACAGTATGGTACTGCAACAAAAACAGACACACAGACCAATAAAACTGAATAGAAAACCCAGAGATAAACCCACATATTTATGGACAACTAATCTTTGATAAAAGAGCAAAGAAAATGCAATGGAACAAGGACAGTTTGTTCAACAAATGGTGCTGCTGGGAAAACTGGACATGCAAAAGAATGAAGCTAGCCTACAACCTCTCACCAAGCACCAAAAAACTCTCAAAATGGAGAAAAACCTGAAACTATAAAATATGTAGAAGAAAATATAGGCAAAAGACTACATTGCACACATCTCAGTAACATCTTTAAAGACTCATCTCCCAAAGCAAAGAAAGTGAAGGAAAAGATGAACAGCTGGGATTACATCAAATTAAAGAGCTTCTATACAGCAAAAGAGACATTAACCAAAACAAAGAGACAACCTACTGAATGGGAGACAATTTTTGTACACAACACTACTGATAAGAGAATGATCACAAAGATCTACAAAGAGTTGACATGACTCAACAAAAGCAAAGTAAATAACCCAGTCAAAAAATGGGCAGAAGAGCTAAAAAGACACTTCTCCAAAGAGGAAATGCAAATGGCCAACAGGTATATGAAAAGAGGCTTAACATCTCTTGTAATCAGGGAAATGCAAATCAAAACCACAGTGAGATACCACCTTACACCAGTTAGAATGGCACATTAAAAAAAAAAAAAAAAACTAGCAACAACAAATGTTGGCGAGGATGTGGAGAAAGAGGAACTCTCCTACACTGCTTGTGGTAAGGCAAACTGGTTCAACCACTATGGATAGCTGTGTGGATTTTCCTCAAACTACTGAAAATGGAGCTACCATATGACCCAGCAATTCCTCTCCTAGGAATCTAACCAATGAATACAAAAACATTAATCCAAAAGGATACTGGCACCCTTACGTCTATTGGGTGTTTATAATAGGTAAGATATGGAATCAATCCAAATTTCCCAAAATAGATAACTGGATCAAGAAGATGTGGTATATATATGCAATGGAATACTATTCAGCAATCAAAAATATAAACTAATGTCATTTCAGCAACATGGATGGAACTAGAAGAAATTATGCTCAGTGAAGTAAATCAAAAGGAAAAAGAAAAATATCAAATGGTTTCATTGATAGGAGGAATGTAGGAGAACCAAATAAGGGATCACAGGGAAAATTTTTTTAAAAAATTGGCAGACAACTATAAATCAGGGACATTCTGCAGGGGAGGGTGAGGGGCAGACAGGGGAGGGAAGAGCACAGGGGACTAACACCAGTGGCACGGTGGTCCTACACATATAACAAACCAAAAAGCCAACTTGGGGAAAAGAAAAATACAAATAGCCAAGCAAGCCTTCCAGGGAACAATACACCACAGAAAGTTTTGCTTGCATAGAAACTTTTGTAATAGGTTCTAATGATCCTTTGTATTTCTCCAGTATCTTTTGTAATTTTGCCTATTTCCTTTCTGATTCTATTGATTTGGGTTTTCTCACTTCTTTTTTTTGTAAACCTAACTAAAGGATTTTCAATTTTGCTTATTTTTTCAAAGAACCAACTCTTGCTTTCACTGATCTTTTGTGTCAGTGCCCTGTACTTACAGCTGTGGACAGTATTTGGGGGTTGGAAAAGCTGAAGAGGAAATGCAAATGGCCAACAGACATATGAAAAAATGTTCAACATCACTTGTAACCAGGGAAATGCAAATCAAAACTACCATGAGATACCATCTTACACCAGTGAGAATGGCACATATTAAAAAAACTAGCAACAGCAAATGTTGGCGAGGTTGTGGAGAAAAAGGAACTCTTCTACACTGTTGGTGGGAGTGCAAACTGGTCCAACCACTATGGAGAGCTGTGTGGAGATTTCTGGACCTACTAAACATAGAGCTTCCATATGATCCAGCAATTCCACTCCTAGGTATTTACCCAAAGGACACAGAAACATCAATTCCAAAGAACACCTGCACCCCTATATTTATAGCAGCACTATTTACAATAGCTAAGCTTTGGAAACAGCCCAA